AATATATAGCACGTGAAGGGTATTGCAACCTCATCTGGTAAATATGTATATGTTTGTTTTAATAATCAGTCATCGAATAAAAGTCGTTTTGTTTCCCATACTGTGTTTTGCATATTTGTCTTCAATCCAATGACGTAGTCAATTAAGCGATTGATTCAAACATAATTTATTCACTTTGGTATTTGAAACAGACTGTGAAGTATTACCTTGGCAACTGTATTGTAGATGACGTTTTAACTAAACCATTGTTAACGTTTGTTAGTCATTGTAAAATACATTTAATTTCATTTCAATAAGGTTAGTTTATTTTGCGGTTGACGTTCCACATTTATGAATTTGTCTTAGTTGTCCAACCATATATTGACCAGTGAAGCAAATTGCAACTTCACCGGCTTTTCGTTAATCTGCAATACAGTGAGTTGATATGGAACTCCATCAATATCGCTTTATTGTCTCAATTCTCAAATAGTTTCCATCTCTAGCTCTATTTCCTCAATCATTCAAGACAAAACTTCAGAATGGACACGGGTATTAAAAGACAATTAAAATGTTATTGACGAAATACGAAATACATTATCAATCATTTCATCGGCGTTTGGGCTGAATTATTATTGTTTTGTTTGCTTGTAAAACTAAAAGTCAGAATGCTTAGAATATGCACCATGGTGTAATTCTGATTGTAGAATTGTGAGTTCCCTCATTTACATGATATAATCAAACCGATAATATTGATCTAAATGCATTACTTTTTCATGTATCAATTTTGCTTAGATATTTTTTTAACGAAGTCCAGAACACAAACATACTAATTATATTAATTGGTGCTTGTATATATATTAAAAAATAAATAAAAAAGAAGACCCATCTCGAACTCTTGCTTATTTAATTGACAATTTGACGACACAAGAAAATCACACCTATGAAATTCAATATGTTTTATGAAAAAATAAATAGATAAAAATAACAATAAAAATAACAACTTAAAAATTAACTTAATGTTTAACTGTATGATGAGCTTTTTACGCTCTACTCGAGTTAGATAGATTCCGAAAAAATTACTCTTACACTAAAATATATATTAAATTATTAATGAATATGTGTCCATTGTAACATATCGCCAATCAAAAGTTTTATACAATTAAAAAAGACGAAAAATACAAAACTGCAACTTAAATAATTCTGTCTCCTCTCTCCTTAACAAAACCATGCAAATTAACATATCATTTTAATTACCTCTGTTATCTATTTGGGTCGCTTAGTGGATGTCCAAAGAATTCACAGATTTAACAACAAAAACTTAACATGATAATTATTGTTATCAAAATGTTTTCAAGGATGCTTAATTTTGAAATATACGTGAATTATCAAGCAGTAAACACAACTATATCAAAGCGTCTAAACTCATAACTGTTGACCCTTAATAGTTTACATTACCAAAAAAAAAAAAAACGCCGAAAAAAATCTTCTCGTGTCCCTCTTGTGAAGTTTAATGACCCCACACGGCTAACCAACTTACACGAGAAACAACACATTTCGTGCTAAGGCCGACAAGTATTTATAATTTATCTTGGGCAATGAACATGAATGGTTTACAACTGGTTTGGACAGTTTACTTGAGAATATCATTACTGGAACTAGAGACTTTCTTGTATAACCATCTCTTTGACTGGTAATATCTTCCGTGTACAAACACATGTTCTTTGCCATCGCCTTTGTTGTGTTAGTGTACTATACTGTAGCAGTATAGGACCTATTCTGAAATAAGTTATGCGGAATATTTCAGGAATACACAGGATGTTTTTGGTGTTATACGTCATTTACCGAAAAAATGACATTTTTTTAAATTTCAAAACACAGACAACACATTTTAATTAACAGATAATGAGTATTAATTCATTACTGATAAAAAAATTGCACACACAACACAATATTGCGCATTAATTCCATCGCCAAGTAACATCAAACAATCAGAATAACAAATAACGCGCCAAACATTGCGGTATCATTTTTATGTTGTCTTTTTTATTTTTTTTATATACAAAACCATATAACCTAAACCAAGTGTAGCATTTGGGGAAAAGCCAAAATTATATTATTATCACATATTAGTAGAACTACATTACGTTATAAACGCAGTGGTAAACTAATTTTGAACCAGCTGCAAACTTTCATATATACCATTTTTATTTTTATTTTCATGATATTATATTGTAAGTTACCTTGAGCCTAAATAAAATATCATTATTAACAGTTGTATAGCTTATGATATTAGCTATGATTTATTTTATAGTCGAAGAAAATGTATTAATTTTAAATCGCCTGCCATTCTTTCTTCTTAAATTGTATTGTTGGCTTACTGCGTGAATGTACATATCACTGAAAAATGAAAAAAACAACAACAACTAAATACCTCAGTGTCTACACACAAACATCAGAAATCAATATCTACACCCAAATTCAGAAATAAAGAAATGATAAGACCAGCAGTCAGGCGGTGAAATCAGTTTTTCCAAAAGGGTAAGCTGTCCTTCATCAGAAGAGGCACTCGTCACGACGAAAGCCGTAATATGTATATTGGAACTTCTCATGTAGAAAACCATGTCTACGTAGTTCAGTGTTCACCTCTTAATCTCATTAATGTAATAGTAAGAACAAGCACAAGTATAGAGAATCAAGTGCACTTTGTAAGCATGGTATGTATGGTATGTTGCTACAGAGGAAAGAAACATATGACCCTGAAATTAAAGTCATTTAGTTGGGTGGTGAGTTGACCATAAATGTCATCATATATGTAAATGTCAAGATATGAAGATGTAAAAGACGAATTCGTGGTATTAAATTTAAAGCTCTGACTAGTAAATATATATTGATATATAAAGAATAAAATACTAATTATCCAAGTCCGACCGCTAGGTATTTCTGCCTTCTTGGTCTTCTTCAGGCGGAATCATGATGTATATATTATATTAATATAAATCAATATGTATTTAAAGGTTTAATATAAAGATTGGTAATTTATCTAGTCTCATTTGTTTAAAGTCCTTGGAGGACATAAGAATATCAAAACAGCTAGATGTGTTATACAGTAAATCTTCATTATAATACCGTTGAAATATTTACACCACATTTGAAAAAAAAAACACCAAAAAGAAAAAAAAAGGCTGACAATGTGATGTTATAACGCTTCTTTTTATCTCCAAGATAGTTTTATCGACATTATATCATTACCAGCTTTCGACAGCAAAATCTTCAGGTTAAATGGAAGTTATTTAACGTGAAAAATTGAAGCATGCAATATGGAGAAGAAAAAAGGTTAAAAACAGTTATTTTAATAATGAGATGGAGATTCAAAGTCTCTGCAATTCTTAGTATTTCATAAATTTTAAATTGTCTGTGGTCTCTCAACGAAAAACAACAAACATATGATAGTATTGTTGAATTTTTTCTTTTACGGCAGAAGTTTATGTGTTTGAGCAAGCTTCAATTCAAGGATCCAAAAGGCCTAATAAAGGGATGATATTCCTGCCAGAATTCATTTTTGATACATTAAGTGGGTTGTTTGTATATTACCAATCAATGCAAATATAAATCAATGATACCCTGTTTTCCATGCAATATCTTTTATCGACTAATCTAATCTAATGTGTCCACCAGACAAAAATAATGTCGATTCTTTGTTTAATCATTTGATGTAAATCCATTTCGCTTTCAGATATATCGGCGATGTGCATTCTCGTTCTTCCCCAACTTAAGGTATGTAGACGTGGCAGGTGATGTTTCTATAAAAAAATAACATGACGGATATCGTCTATGAAATGGAAGACGCTTGCCCTTTCAGAACACATGGTCTAATTTTCCTTGTAAATTTTCAATGGTCTCCATGTAAACGAAGGTAAATTTTGGTTTTATCTGTATCATACAGATGATTAACGCGGTAGTATAAACTCCGTTAAAGAACTAAAAATTCTCTTAATGTATGCATGTATGATCCAATGTCAAGGTCAAGAAAGATGACTACCAGTTTAAAAAGTTAGCTGTTACTTTGTAAATAGAATATATACTTGCAAATTTTACATGAAATACTAGCTTAGGAATGACTTAACTGCCGTAGCCAACAAAGTAACAAAGGGTTTTATTTCAATTTGATTCTACAAATATTTCAAAACTCTATTTCCATGGTTTTCAGTCTTTTGACCTTAGTACTAATTTTAAGTACAATTGTATTGGCTTTCTGCATCATCAACAAACAACGGTGTTTGCTTCCGTAATTCATAATTCTAGTAAAAATGATAAATCTGTAGTAAATCTCACTGACCGGTTTGTTTTTGTCAAAAACGCGCAGAGTAAAGGTCACTATTTCGAAACTTCCAACCCGTCAACACACCTTTTCTAGGTTTTTGAACAAATTCTTGTTACAGGAATGAGAGAAAAAACTCATGCTAATGGGCGTAGGTTAAACCAACACCACTATCGAAATCCAAAATGGGGCGAAAACCCTTGGCAGCCCTTGGGTTGAAAATATCTGATCGATATATACACTGTATTTATGATAAAAGGACATATGTGACGTCTTTCACATCAAAATGAGTAATGAATATTGAATCAGCACTGTTGTAAGATGTATAAAAATGCCACCCTAGTAGCACCCCTCCGAACTTGGAGCAAAACCCTATGGCGTACGTATGCTCACTGATTCATTATTTAATAGAAGCCTAAAATCTTAAATTTGACTTCATCTTTCTTCTTTTTACAAATTAACATCATCTGCGTATTATCAGTATGTCTTTGACATTTAACCTATGAATCAACAGCGAAATTAGGATGTTACGTTGTCACGCGGGCTTGTTTAACATAACACTGAGGTCAAAAGTTACATCGATGCAACAGTCATACAAGGCAACTGACATATGCTGTGACCAGACAATAAACTTCAGTGCAAAGGTTCTTCCGTGTCAGGGCCTATAAAGGCCCCTAAGTGTGAGGAGAGCTCCACAGTTCCAGCTTGTCCGAAACCCTCTAAACAAAGGTAAGTAAACATATTTATAAACGTTATGATTAGCTTTAACATCGTTATCAGATTAATTATCAAGGCAAGATGAAAATATATCAAAAGTCCGAGAAGGATTAAAATCGTTCTCGTGCTTTGTAGTTTTTTAACCTTCTGTATATATTGCTAATTTTATATCTGATGGCGATATAAACTAATGGCGCGTTTTTGACAGAAACAAACTGGTCAGTGAGATTTACTACACATTTATCATTTTTACTAGAATTATGAATTACGGAAGCACACACCTGTGTTGTTTGCTAATGTTATAGGTACACTTACTAATTATCTGTTTGGTGCAGTGTAGTTTATTTTTGGCATACTGTATCTATCAACTAATTTCATAGGTGTAATAATATGTCTGTATGTGTGTCATACGTTCATCTTTTGTAATGATTGTATATGAAATTTTGTTCGCCATTAGATATAAACACACAAACACACACGAAAGCTATTTTAATAAACTTTACTGATACACTGGTTGTTAGATAATGAATATTTGTGAAAAATGTATCTGAATATATTTCAGCACTAAACTAAAGACAGTCAGGTTAAATCGGGGAAGTATGCATAGGTAAATAATGAATAGAACCTGCCTGATTAATCAAATGTCAATGTAGGATTTGTAACATGTTTTTGCTTTTAGTATAAATAAAAATAAAATGTAAAAGTATCGCGTTTCTAAAGGTAAAAACCCCAATAAAACAGACGAACTCAAGGAATGTAAATGGTAGGTCTTGACAAAGTAGGACATATCATGATACGAATATTTTGAGAAAAAGAAGTTCAAATTTGAACCTATTTTTTATTGTAATTTGTTTGATCATTAGAACCCCAATCAAACCGTTCAATTTCTGTGTTTATGAACGTAGCAAAGTATTAAATAAAAAAGAAACAAGAAAAGAATAATCTATTGTAAGGTAAGCCTCTCTAAGGTAGTACATGCCAATGACTATACTAGTATTCCGTATATCAAACATGACTCTGAAAATACATGTAATATATACTTCTTTTTAATCATCAAAACAGGAACCAAGTCTTATGATTTTTGGATTCTATCAAACTATTAATCAAAAACAAAGATAGTCTTTATATATTTGATATTGTTTCTAGCAGAAAAGACATTCACACAAGTATGACATGTTACACCTAGTATTTAGTCATCATCCAGGTAAAGGCTCTGCAAGTACAGCTGCTGGAGAATGCGTTTTGAAGTGTAATAAGATTGCAGCACTGGTCGTTAATCGAGTAAATATTAATATGGAAAAACAGCCAATTTTTAAGTCGAGCATTTCATTGTGATATCAAACATACACATGTGGTTATCTGCATCGGTGACGTGAAATTAAAACACATGTATGCGATTGCATGTTATATGAACTCTCGAAATGTTACTGATCCATGTTCAATCCGTAGCTTAATGCATGCTTTTTATCATTTAAAACCGAAAATCAGTGGAAACTTGCAAATAATACCAGTAGTAATCAGAAGAGGTAGCCGATCTTACATTCAATTACTACTGCAGATTAGTTGGTTATAATATACAAACAAAAACACATTATGATATTCATATTTATGTAGAAATTCGAAGCATCCAGTTTTCGTGTAGTTACAAATAAGAAAATTTCACCATTAAAATTGTCAATTTTAAAAATTTCCAAGTATTATCAAATAAATAAAAGTAGATCATATCAATCAAATAATGATTTCGTTGTTTTTCAGAAAATGATGATTTTATTCGCCGTGGTTCTTGCCTGCTATTTCGCCCAACCAGGAATGGGGACATTCTGGGGTAAGTGCCTTTTTATACTGACATAAGCCCTTTTTTGGGTTCCTGTTTGTTTATATTAAAAAAAGGAAACTTCGAACTATACACTTAATTATGACGATTATTGTCTCTCCAGCAGTCGCTTTTGCTGACTCAGCTAGAGGGAATTTCTGTTATTAAACAACCATTAGAGTATTGGGCTAATGATAAAGTTTAACTTGTTGGTACCCGTTACCTTATGCACCGCTTCCCTTATCTTCTTCAGGAGCAGGATCCGGTATGTCAGGGGGTGGAAGTGGAATGTCATCAATGATCATGCCGTCCACGTACGGCTCTAACTGGTACAACACACGTAGTTCAAGTGGAATGCCCTCATCAATTTATTACAAACGCCACTCAACAACCATAGGAAGACCTATTTACTCGACATATTACTCAACATCATATCCTATGGGTGGAATGAGTTCTATGGGCGGTATGGGAGGAATGAGTTCTATGGGCGGTATGGGAGGAATGGGCGGCATGAGCGGTATGAGTTCTATGACCAGCACGGGTGGTATGGGTGGTATGGGAGGTATGGGATCTATGGGCGGTATGGGATCCATGGGCAGTATGGGATCGATGGGCGGTATGAGTTCAATGGGCGGCAGTACTTCCATGGGCGGTATGGGAGGTATGGGATCCATGAGCGGTATGGGAGGTATGGGATCCATGGGCGGTATGGGATCCATGGGCGGTATGGGATCCATGGGCGGTATGGGAGGAATGAGTTCCATGGGCGGTATGGGTTCAATGGGAGGAAGCTCAATGGGAAGTATGGGTGGTATGACTTCTGCCGGCGGTATGGGAGGAATGGGTTCTATGGGCGGTATGGGTTCAATGGGCGGCATGGGAGGAATGAGTTCTATGGGCGGTATGGGTTCAATGGGCGGCATGGGAGGAATTAGTTCTATGGGCGGTATGGGAGGAATGGGTTCCATGGGCGGCATGGGTTCAATGGGAGGAAGCTCAATGGGAAGTATGGGTGGTATGACTTCATCCAGCGGTATGGGAGGAATGGGTTCTATGGGCGGTATGGGTTCAATGGGCGGCATGGGAGGAATGAGTTCTATGGGCGGTATGGGTTCAATGGGAGGAAGCTCAATGGGAAGTATGATTGGTATGCCCGCACCGATCTCCAGAGGAAAGAAGAGAGGAGGTAAGATATTTAGTGTATTTGTAATCACTGTATTTAACTGCAGTGTCGCTACAAGGCAGCTTATTCCCTTACTGATTAAGTGCAAAAGGTTAATGTTGTTGAAAAAATATTTGGTTGATACATCTTTTTTATAAAAAAATATTTGTATGAGAATTTCCACAGCAATATCATATGATGTGGAAGACAATTTTACGTTTCATTGGAAGTAACACATTTATGTTTCTTTATTACAGGCTCTTATTAAATATAAGCAACTGTGTTCCAGAAGTAAAGAAGACGCCCGGTGATAACGACAAAACGTTGCCTCATATATACATGCTTTGTAACCAGACTTGTGTGTGTGATATATACCAGTTAAATTATTGAATAAAAGCCATTGCTTGATAAAAGTACATCTGGTTCTTCGCTTACTTACATAAAACAATTGCACGTCATGGTACAATCAAGAATGCAAACAACGAGAAAATTAGAGAAATAAAGCTTCACAATGATTTAAAGACTTACCAAAATGCAGCCTGTTCTAAGAAAATGTATAAATGCAGCTTTTAAACATACAATTGGTGAGACATATCTATCTGCAATAATATTTGCTTGCAAATTTATCTTAAAGTATAATTCCCCGCGAATGTTATTCAAACAAACTGCAAAAAGTAGATATATAGATTATATGCATGTGTAAATGTATACATACTGTTTGTTCCTCTGCCATAAAAAATAAAAGAAAATGAAAGAACTGAAGCACAATATTGCAAAAACAGATGCTCGCAGAAATTAAGGAATTACCAGTATGAGCGACATTATCTTACTGATGTGTGTCTCGAAAAAGAAGTATTTGGAAGTAATTAGGGAACTAGAAAAAGAAAGATTATTTATAACAAATTTTTATCATGAACACTTTTAAGTTAACTTTTACACTGGTATCCATACATGTTAAGGCTACAGTAATAAAGTCAACTGGCATTAATATAAAATTCTAATTCATTTGAGATGTGACATGACATAAGATTGGTCGGTCGAAATAATTTGCAACAGTATAACCACAATACCATGTTTACCTGATGACCTAGGTCCAAACTACTCGAAGTTGGGGTATACAATGTGTGAAGCGGATGAGCATATTACCACCTTGCGTATTTACAGGATGTCCTTTGAGAGCGATCACCATATCATTCATAGGTAAGTTCGGGTCAGATACGATGGCCGTTGATTTCATTCACGAGTTCCCGTAGAAAGAATCGTTCCCATTGCCGAGTATAGAGCGTGGAAATATCCAAAATTTTATTAACACATATTTATTTGGTAAACGTAGAAAAATATTTAGGCACAGGTGATAACAACGTATCGAACCTTTTACCCAATATGCACTAAAACTGATATGATAACTAATATAACGGTTACACTATTGAATTGAACCGAATACAATATTCGAAAAAATTCTCCTCTCAAGTTCCAGAAAATATTATATTTATTTAGCTTCAACCAAGTTGCAAAGCTTAGAAGAACTTTGTGATTTTAGGTATGGTCTAATGGCATGTCACTCTACGGCAAACCAATCAGAAAGCTGTCCGTTTCGACCGTAAAATTTCCCCAGTATAGATTGAAGTATCTGCGATAGACAACCATGGAAACATAGTTTACTTCACGCCATTTATGATAGCTACAGGGATGAACCTCGAACAGGATATTGAAAGGAAACGGAAGTAGATAATTTGTTTTCATTTCCGTTTGTCAGTTTCCCTATGTTTTGACGTAAAATGAGATTTTCTCCTCATTTTAAATTCGTTAGGAGTCCCGAAGAGCAGAGATATACCCAATACAATATAAATATATAGTATTATATTTTTTTAATCTAGGAAAATAAGTATCGTTCAATCCGTCTATGTTTGGAATCATTTCATGCTAAGCAACAAAATTTGATTATTATCAGACACAAATTTTGTATACTGATTTTATTCTGACTATAGGTCTGGGAAAATCTCTGTTGCCAGCGCTCAGAGTAATTAAAATAAAAAATATCATTAAATGATGATTATGACATCACCATGGACAAAATGATCATCTCATAGTCTTCTAAAGGGTGGAGGAAATAGCTTGGATGTAAACAGTGTAAAAATAAATGTTAAAAATAAATGTTAAAAATAAATGTTCAATCAACATATTTAACTCTATTCAATATAATGTATAGCGTATCGATTGGTTTCGTCCGTGATGGTCATGACAAGATTCAAATAATATAACAGTTCTTGATGAGAAAATGACAAATGATAGACTGTTCCAAATATCAACAGTTCTATGACAGAATAAGCTTTTTCTTATGTTTATGCGCGTTCTCTCTGAGTATAGTTTGTATTTATACATAACTTCACACAATGAAAGAGTTAACCTGTTTATTACTTGAATTCAGACAAATATGTATGTGCAAGCAAAGAACAAGTACTAAAACCTACTGCAAACATTTGGCGTATCAGGGGCTACTCACTCTATAACAATCCTACGATAGTAACACATTCTTTTCAAAACATTTTAAAGGAAGCTAGACTCTGAGAAGTCACAGAGAAGCTTGATAAAGAACGCGAGCTAGACTCCAAAGAAAGTATGAGAAGCAGCTAGACCATGAAAGTCTCCAGAGAAGCGACAAGACTCCTAATATCCATGGAGAAGCTATAAAAGACTATGATTTGATGACGCTAGACTTCGAAGAAGGCAAGAGAAGTCACTAGACTCTGGAGGCATCCAGAGAAGCGACTAGACTCATAGCCACCCCAGAGAATGTATCTGTTAAATTTACCACGAGAAAACTGGCTACAGATAAAGTGAAGTAATAATCTATTTAAGAGATTGGGGGTTAAATTCCCCAAGAATTTAAAGCCAAAATTGAACGATTATGTTAGTGCAACGTAAGAGTGAGAGCCCCCAATAACATAAAGAAATTATAGATAACATTGTTAGTAATATAAGATCAAAAACTATTTAACTAGTCAAAGCTCATGCATTGTTGAGCTGTACAAATTGTAGAAGGATCTGTTCGGACATAACGAGTAAAACAGTCAGATGACCATCTTTCCAAAGTCTGAATAACATGATCCTGGACACCGAAAGCAGCTGCTGAGGTAGCAGCACAAATACGAAAAGAATGTCCATTAAAATCATGGCTGTTAATACCTATACGAGTCCGAGTTTCTTTGAGATATGATATAAAAGTCTGACTCATCAACGGTTTGGAACAATACACATTTTCAATAAACAAAGGGGAAGTCAGAATAGCTCCTTGAGCCTTCCTTGCTGCTAAATAGGGAATCATGGTGAGCACAGAATGCAAAACATTGTTCTCAAACACTTTGATGTTAACTCTTTTACCATGGGGGTCCATTTTTGATGAACACAGAAAAAGGGTAAAGGAAGACTTGTCCGGCACCATAACTATGTCACACTTACGAATGTACGTAGTATCGCGCAAGGTTTGGCATGTGTACTCCCCACAGCGCAAAAAATCATAAAAAGATGTCTTAAAAACACAACACAGCATAAGGTCTATAAAAGGTGCAAACATACCATGATTACTGGAACTTTTTTCACACATGAGTTTAAGTATCCTGAATGTAATAGGAAGTCGTTTTGTTGAAAAGTTCACTTGGTTTTTCTTAATAGCACGCAAAACGTAGGTTAGCAGAAGTGTATTGGCGATGGGATCACCAAAGTTATTTCGAATGTAACAGAAACGGATACCAGACAGGTAAAGCTTAATAGTGTCATATTTTAAATGCAAGTTTTGTTGACAATAAGTCACGAATAGGATCAGAAGTTCTTCACTAACTAGAGGAAGAGACTCTGCTGGGTAGTTGATGCCCCGCATAAGAATGAACGTTAAGAAACATTTCAATCCTGATTTGTAGGTAGATAGTGTCCTCTCACTAAGGGCGGTATCCCACAGCCTTGCAACGTTTGTTGTTCAATTCATCGTCAAAGATGACATAGGCAGACAGGGTACTGGCCACTGGTCGGCATGGGGTGCTAATGTCCTGAATCGGCTCATCTGGAAACGAGATATAGCATCAGCAATGTTATTTTGTTTACCAGGGATATGTACTGCATGGACTACAAAATTATGCACAGCAGAATGGTAAATGAGTTTACGCATTAGTCTCATAATACTCTGCACTTTAGATCTCACTTTTTAAATTATTTCTACTTTAACAACATTGCCACAACGGAACAAAATTCTTCGTTTGTGCCAATTACATCCCCACAAAACAAACCATAACAATAGGATATAGTTCGTAAAGGGCCATGGAGGGGTCTGCTGTCTTCAGTTCCGGAGAGGAAGGTACCTTGAAACCATTTTTTGGTAGGTAAAAACCTCCGAACGCTTCTAAAGTAGAATCGGTATACAAATTGATGTCCGCAGCTACTGTGACATGGTCATCAGGGAAGAAGGAGACCCCAATCCAATTGTTTAGAAATAAAGACCACATGCGTAGATCCGCTTGACACTCTTGGGCTATCTTGACATGGTAATGTAGTTCACGCACTTTCGTAGAAATTGAAATCAGATGTGAAACAAATGCACGTCCAGGTTTATTGCAACGACAAGCGAAATTCATGTGGCCTAGAAGACTAAGAAGTTCGCGTTTGGTACATGACTTCTTCCTCTGAGATGAATCTATGAATTCAATGATTTATTGAGATTTTGTCTAATGGTAGGCGGGATTCATTAAGTTGAGAATCTAAAAACACCCCTAAGTACTCCAGCATGGTGCAAGGTCCCACAGTTTTATGTGCTCCCACAGGAATACAAAGATTCTTGAAAACTGCCATGAAACGTTCCATGGTTTTTGAAGCTTCCGCATAAACTGGTTCATTAACTAAAAAATCATCCACTAGATGTAAAATGTTATTAATGTTATAGTTGTTTTTAACTATCCAGCACACGGCCTGCGAAAGGTTATCAAACAGTTTAGGACTAGAGCGACTCCCAAGCACAAGTCTAGTGAAGAAATAATACCGGTTTCCCCACTTTATTTCATGATAAGGCCAAAGTTCCAGTTTGATTGGTAGTAGCTTGAAGGCATCAGTGATGTCAGTTTTTATCAGCCATGCATTTTCCCCTGCACTTTTTATGAGGCGAATAGCATTATCCACAGTGACATATTTTAGTGAACAAGTTATTTTGTCAATTAGACTGTTGAGACTTGGATTTTGGTCGTCCTTGTGTTGAGCTGACATGTCAACGATGAGACGTTTTTTCTTTGAGTACTTATGTTCAGCTTACCCAATAGGATTGATGCGGTATGCCGGAAAAGGAATACTATCCAATAACCTTTTTCTACCTCCTGACACACTAATTTTGTTACTCTTTCCTGATCACTG